TGCGGGGGCTGAAAAGAAAGACAGAAAATTTAAGTGTACTGGACCACAACTGACTACCGTAATCTGTCGTTAGGATATTATAGTACGAGAGCAAGGAAGGTCTGGAGAAACAAGTATTTTAAGAAAGCTGGCTCTTTGATATATCTTTTACTATGCTCTCTGGACCAGCGGGCAGGCCGTCTGGCTGCCGATAGACGTTGCTTTCACTGCGCATTGAAAGAAGTTAATATAAATAATAATAGCTCTCATATATAGCGTTTAACGCCATGGGAGTAGCAAGGTACAGCTTGCCATACTGGAGCCGTTCGGTATACAAGGAAGGTAATGTGGCTAGCACTACACTTCAACCGCCTATTATTACCTCAGGATTGTGAATCCCAAGTACTCATTTAAGGCTGAGTCGACCTAGGTACCCAAACTATTTTTATTTTAATAAAAATAGTTTAATAAATGTATTAGTTATATTTTTGTCTTATGTTTTTATAGGCATTTGCGTCTTTAATCGAAAATTTTAAGTTTTTTTCAAATTTAGTTAAGTTGTAGACGTGATTACTTTTTCATGACTTAATAATTTGATATTATTTACATTTATTTTTGTTTTCTAAAATGTTTTGATTAAAAGAAAATATGTAAAAGTGGGCAACGCTGTGCCAGTCAAGCTTAATCACGCGACTAAAAGTTTATTTGATATGAACTATAAGACTTTCAAAGTTATTTAAAAGACATTAAAATAACTTTGTATTTCACTCACCAACTTTTCATTTTTCCGCTTCTTCTCCTCGGCAGTCTTCTTAGCCAATACCGCGCTGTTATTACCAGCACCTCCACCTTTTTTCCTCTTCACTTTCGGAGGTTTCCTCTTAGGGGGGCTTTTACGACCCCCGCGTTCCTGATCCGAACTCGACGAGTCATCGTTGTTCTTACTCGACGCATCCCCATTGACGTTCTCTTTAGTTTTACGCCCGACCGTTTTGGCCTGGAAATGCTTGCTTTTGTTGATGCTGTTCACCGCCATGCTGCCCACAGAGTGGATGGAATTGACCGGGTTCTCTTTCTTTGCCGGCGGCGGACTGGGGGAGCCTAGGTTTAGGGGAAGGGACACGCAACTACCGGAACCGACTACGCCTGTCGTGTCTTCGAGGTCTTCGCCTGTGTGCCTTTGTAGCCACGCCTGTAAGAGAAGATTTTATGTTTTATTATAGGTGTTGGTATTAAAATGAATCTAAAATGTATGTTATGGATTTCAGAGAGATTCCCATCTGCGTAAATAATCAGAGATATATATTCATATGTCCCTACGATCTTATCATCATATTAACTAAAATATATAACTAATATAAATACCACTACTAAATTATTCAGTCAGTTAAACCGGAAAACCGTTTAGAAAAACGAAAGCAGATCTCTGAACGGTCTTCTTAGCCTTTTCCAGAAAACATCCCCCTTTAGAACTTCATCTGTTATTTTAAGAAAATAAAAGTAAATAAAGCGCCGCTCGTTTTGTTCGCATACTAAAAACTTCATTTAATGCCTGTATAATATTTTTAATATATTTTTTAAATTTACATTTTTTTAATTGTAAAGTTATATATTAGATAACAATTAAGTATGTCAATTACAAGCTTGTTTTGTAACATTTTTTAAATAAAACGAATTATAAATTTCAATATATGTTTATTTGTCGTAGGTATGAAAAAAGTAAAATATAAAATGGACAAACTCTTACTTACATTGCAATAAAACTGCCACTTTTAGTTTTGAATCTAAACGCAATATTTTTTTTCACAAATAAAATATCCGAAAACACTAAAATCCCTGAATCTTCCGCGGCTGACACAACGAAAAAGTGAAAAATATAAGAGCACTTTTTGTTTTGACCCTGCATATCAAAATTACACTGTACCATTATTATGTTTTTGTTTTGAAATAATATAAATTATAATAGAATTGTCTAATTACTAATTATAACTTGAGAATTTTGATATTTTAATGATCTCTGACAATAACTAACTTTTTGTTATCAATATGACATTTTAGACGGCAACTGTCACGTATATGTCATAATATTTTAATTTTAAATGTATGTGATATTATTTTAATTAATATAATGCAACTTTATAATAAGAAAACATTTATACATTCACAAAATACAACAAAATCTAATAATATAGTTTGAAAACAATGAAAATTGAATTAAAATTAAAAAAAAGTTAAGCGCGACCCCTTGTGTCAAAATTAGATAATTAAATTTTCGCAATTTTTACACCGTTTGATGAACAGTGGCGCCTTTAATGTGACCATTAAAGAAACGGTTCTAAAGGGGGATGTTTTATAGTCTCGTCTAGACATTTTTTCTAGACGTTTTACCATAGATAAATGAAACAAGTTGACATTGGAAAGTGCTAATAAGGATAATGTAAATACTATTTGGTGTTGTTCTTGTAATTATATCGTAAAATATTTTTTATGCACACATACTACCCAAATACAAAAAATTCTAGAACGTTTTGCTTTAAAAAAAATCAAAATCGCCCACCTTTTTCAGATGCCTGACGGGATAAGTCCCGCCCGCGGTCTTCTGCGGTCCCGGACTATTACTTTTCTCTGAATCCACGGCGCTGGGCGGGATCTTAAGGGGTGTGCCCGGATTCTCGTCCGTAATCGGAGGCGTGCTACTCGTTCCCGGCATGTTATTGGGCGTGGAACATCCGCCTCCGCCAGGATTGGGTGTGGTCGATAGAGGCGGTGCTCCTACGCTGTTAGGCGTAGGCGTGTTGCGCGCTGGCGGCGCCGGACTCGAACTGAGCGGTAAGCTGGGCGTGGCCGGCTTGGCGGGAGGCGTGGAATGTGTGGAATCGGTGCTCGCGGGGCGCGGCGCGTCTAAAGTGACCGTCGTCACGCTCAGGTCGGGTAGATTTTCGGTCAGTGATGTGGGTGACTGAGTTGGAACTAGGAGGTTTGTTGTCACTGTTGTTACGGGTGTCCTAAAAATAATAAAATCACATATGAGTGAAGTCCTAGAAGATAATTATAGAAAAAATGAGAAAAAGTTTTGGTTTGGTTAGTTACTAATTACCTGTAAGCTGCGAGGGTATTGACGAGGGTTGTAATTGTAGTTGCGGCGCTAGCTATGAGAGGGCTGGGTTCGCTGACCCTTGCCAGTTGAGGCTGAGGTGCCAAATTATTACCGAAATTCTTCAGATTCTGTTGTAACGTCGGCGTTAAACCGGGAGGTGTCTCTACTCGACGTTTCTTAACCTCCAAACAAACTGGCGTGCCCAGTGGCGTCGTTTTTCTTTTGGGCGACGTAGGTTGGTCATTACTATGGAAAATACATCATATTATGTTTAGATAAATAAATTTGAACTTTAAAGAATCTTACCTTGATTTATTTGAACTAATACCAAGATCAAGCAGGTTGCGTTTGGACTTGCTGTTGAATACCACCGGTCCCGGTGATATACTATAGCTAGAGGTGGGGACGTGGACGTACTAAGAGGTGCCGAAGACGCTGTTGGGGGCGACGTCCCTGGTTGGTGGAGTAATTTGACAGAGAGACTAGCCGGCGGCATTGGTCCGAAGGATACATTCTGTCGAATCTAAAAAATCACTAGATCAGAATATGTTTAAAATTTACTGGACACTAAAATATTCCCAGAATATTCTAGTGTAGTGCAGTTTTAAGTTGTTTGATAAGTCTTTTCTAAAACCTACCCTATCGTCGACGTGGTACGACTACTATGAGCGGGAGGAGGTGGGCAACTGTTGACGTTAGAACTGGAAGCCATCGCCGGAGGGTGGTACTGAGACACTTGCTGGTAGGGCGATGGAGACACGTTCGCGCTCAACGGAGGTTTAGGAACAGGATGAGGAGGAGCTTGGACCTCGTGCGGTCGGCTCACCGGTACCACGCTCACCGCGGACGGTTTGCCGTAGATATGCTGAGGCGCTGGAGAGGATACTTTGGGTTTGGAACCGGCCATCGAGGCTGTCGTAGCTAGAGTGTAACTGCCAGGAGTTGATGCCGTTGACATGAAAGGAAACCCAGGTTTGCCTTTAATAAAAATATCATTAGTTAGCATACAACCTGAAGTATCATTAAAAATGGCTTTACCTGAAGTAGGAAAGATCATTGTCTGCCCTGGTTCTTGCCTAAACCGTAACTCGGGCGACATGTGTTGCTGGCTGTGAGGGTGCGCCACCCCGTGAGGCGACTGTCTTTGGTGATGAGGGCTGGGCATCTGGTTGCCGGAAGATCTGTGGTGTCCGGATTTGGGCGTTTCGAGGTGATGGTGAGGACTAGGAGCGTGTCCCATGTGATGGGGAGATTGCGTGAGGGCTTCTAAGACAATTTCATTATTAATATTACTCAAATAGGCGCGACATTTTCAAGATATAGAGATCTTAATATCTACAGTATGTCCCCGGATTGTCTTTACAAGAGGAAAAACTTTTTTATTATTGACATTTTGAGAAAAATGCATTCTTCATAAAACATTTTGCTTGTTCTAAAATTTATTAATTTAATTAATTAAAGTTAATCCCGTTTATACTTTTTCCAAATTTCTATACCGTTTTAAAGAAAATTAAGAAAAAACATGAAAATATGGTTGAATTTTTTTCGAAGTCCTAAAAATTAATACGCGTTTCTATGGTAATATCAATTCGATTTTATTCTTTGATAGATGTCATATTCTTTGCTGTTGTTAAAGTATCATTTTCTTCGACAACTATCATCACCCTTTCCGTAGCATTGAACTAAATAAATTTTGTGCTTCTTTAACATTTTAAAACAGCAAAAAATATGACGTTAATTAAAGTTCTATGAATAACATAAAATTAGTAACTAGGAAACATTAAAATATGTTGTGACATTGGAAAGTCAAAACATATTTTAATAAAAAAATTAATTAATGTCACTTTTTGTGCTTTTTGTTTACTTTTTTTGACCCGTTTGACCCGTGATAATAAGGGGTTCATTTAAATTTAAACTCCACAACACTAAAAGTATGAAAATCTCTGAAGTATGTTCCATATCTTCAAAAACTAGATATGTGTAATTTAAAATCGTTTTTTTTAAAACGACTTTTTATCCAGTGAAATATATATTTATGTTAGGTAACTTAATCACTTTAAACATTATTACGCAATTAACCTTTGTATTTTTTTAAATAATTAATATAATAATAAATATTAAACAATAAATAATTAATATTCGAATAAAAAATATTATTTTCTATAATTTATATATTTATATTTTCTATTTTATGACATAAAATGACATATATCCAAAAGAAAGACAGACGATTGGTTAGTCAGTGTCAAAGACAAAGATAATCAGAGAGTCGAATGTGGCTGATGTGTGCTTCAACAAAAACGGAGCGAATTTACTTATCCACAAAGTTTATAAGATCTAAGTAACTAGAAAAAAAGCCCCGAATCCTTACCGGTACTCGTAGATATTCGACTTCTGCCCTCCCCGCCTGTCGCCGTCATATAGTGTCCCATCAGTTCGCTCCTCAGCTTCGGACTAGGACTCAGAGCTATCGACACCCTAGGTTCCACGTGGTGCGACGTTTTCGCGTCGTGCTTCACGATCACCGAGTTCTTCATCTCGCTTTGACCAGCGGCGGAGGGTTGGGTAGCTCCCTCCCCGTCCATCCCCCGCCTTAGTGACTACTAGACCGCCCGGCGTGGTGGTTTTGTACAGGTCCGAGGACTTCTTTGGCTCGTAGTAGGCGTTGGGGGAGGCGTGCACCTGGTAGCCGTACATGGACAGGTCGCCCTTGGGCAGCATCGAGGGGTGGATGCCGGCGGCGGTCATTTTGTCCGAGGGTTTGCCGGAGATGAGCCGGCTGTGCGCGGGAGGCGGCGGGTACTCGCCTTTGCTAGGAACGTTCGATTTGCTCGGTACGGCCGCGTAGTATGACCTGAAATTACATGTTAAAAAGAGAGTTGTAAACATGCGTAAAAGTTTGTTCCTCTAATTTAAATGTAAGCATTCAGAAGCTGAATGAAAAAGTTTATCGTTTTATAAGGTAATTATTAGGCTTCGTTTATGGATACAACTGACTAATGGAATAAAGATATTTTATCTCACTTGTGGATAAAATAACACCTTAAACGCTTCATATGAGTGGATAAAACCAGGGTGCAATGATTTAAATAAAAAAATTAACTTGTTTAAAAAAACTTATTATAAATTGAAAGGTAATTGTTAAAATTATAAAAACTTTTCCTATTATAAAAAAGTATTCTATATCAAATATACTCTATATACTATTCATGAAGTAAGTACAAGAAAGTTACACTTGCTGTTGTAACGTTTAAATACTTTAATAGATCGAAAAATAATTGTAAAAGATTGTAACATATAACAAATATCCCTAATATCTATTCATCTATTAAAATGTTGGACCGATTTTTGAAGTTATTACCTGTAAATCCATAACACTTCTAAATGACAGAGATTTATTTTGAAATTGTGAAGTGCCAGAAATCCGGTATTTGAATACATTTCATTCCCAAACTCTAGCCTCATCCCTGAAGGGACTCAAAAATGTAATGAATTGGCGATCGATGGACCTTAAGTTAAGTTAACTATAGCTTTGATTGCTTTGGTTTCACTCTTTTTTTTTCATTATCTTTTCTTTTTTTTTCATTTTTCTCTGTTAACAAAAATTTTACAGAAAATTCAGTGGAAATGGCAACACTGAATTTTCCTGTCTCCATCTTATCAAATCATGTGTTAAAAATTCTCCGTAACGTCAGATATGCGTGAAAAGTACCAAACCCAAAACTAAATTAAAATATGAAATTAAGTGCATAATCCGCATTTTTTCTTATTTAAAATTACTACCAAAAATGGTTACCTTTTGATCAAAAAAGAGAAAAATGCAAAAATCGTGTGTCTACAGTATGTCCCCCGATTGTTTTTACAAGAGGATAAACTTTTTTATTAATGACATTTAAAAAAAAAGTGCATTCTTTATATAGTAAACGCCACGAATGTTTGGGTGAGTGATTCATCGCTTGATGAAGTTAGAATAGATACGCGCGCTATCATTTTTACATTAAAAATATAAATTTTTACCGCAGACGTAGGTTTTTAAAGGCCTGGTCTAATCATCTGCCTGCGCTCCTCCTTCTTATTCTAAAATGTTAGCGTGATTGACAAAGACGATACTATATCGCGTTTCTTTGATTGATTCGTTTTTGTGCGTCAGTCCATTGGTGTGCTTGCAGTGCGACCAATGGAGCATTCCATTTTATATTTATAACAAAATATATGTTTTTACAAGACTTTGACAGTTAAAA